AACATACCTCAGCACAATAAAAGCTATATATGACAGACCCAAAACTAGGATCATGCTGAAATAGGCAAAAACTGAAAGCCTTTTCCCCAAGATCTGGAACATTATAAGGATGCCCACTTTCACCACTGTTATTCAACATAGTACTGGAAGTCTTTGCAGGAGTAATCAGATAAGAGAAAGAAATAAAGGGCATCCAAATTAGAACAGAAGAAGTCAAATTATCCCTGTTTTGCACATGACATGATCTTATATTTGGAAAAATGTAAATTCTTCTCCAGAAAACTTGGAATTGATAAACAAATGCAGTTAAGTTGCAGGATCCAATATCAACATAAAAAATGAGTAGGCTTTCTATATGCAAATTACAAACAACCTGAAAAATCGATAAAGTAATCCCATTTACAATACCTGCAAATAAAATACCTAGGAATAAACTTAAAGAAGTGATTAAGCAACAAAAACTGCAATAAATACTATAAAACATTGATGAACAAAATTGAAGAGGACACACAAAAAAATGGAAGGATATTCCATGTTCATGGATTGGAAGAATCAGTATTATTAAAAGCTCCCTACTACCAAAAGTAACCTATACATTCAATCAAATGTCTATCAAAATACCAATGACATTCATCACAGAAATAAGAAAAATAATCCTAAAATTTATGTGGAACCACAAAAGACCCAGAATACTGAAAGCCATCCTGAGCAAAAGGAACAAAACTAGAAGAATCACATTACCTACACAGAGCTATAGTAACCAAAACAGCATGTTACTGCCATTTAAAAAACAAAACAAAACAAAATAAAAAACAGTGGAACAGAATAGAGAAGCCAGAAACAAATCCATTAATCTGTAGTGAGTTCATTTTTTAAAAAGGTGCCAAGGCCATACACTGGGAAAGAATGGTCTCTTTAATAAACAGTTCTGGGACAACTTCATATTCATATGCAGAAACTAGACCCTTATCTCTTGCCATATACAAAAATCAAATCAAAATAGATTAAAGACATACATAAGACCTCAAGCTAGGAAACCATTAAAAGAAAACATTGGGGGCCAGATGCAGTGCCTCACACCTGTAATCCCAGCACCTTGAGAGGCGGAGATGGGCAGATCACTTGAAGTCAGGAGTTCCAGACCAGCCTGGCCAGCATAATGAAATCCCGTCTCTACTAAAAATACAAAAATTAGCTGAGCTTGGTGATGGATGCCTGTAATTGACAGGCCGAAGGTAGGAGATTCACTTGAGCCCTGGAGGTGGAGGTTGCAGTGAGCCGAGATCGCACCACTGCACTCCATCCTGGGTGACAGAGAAAGACTCCGTCGCAAAAAAAGAAAGAAAACATTGAAACATTGGGGAAACTCTCCAGGATATTGGTCTTCGCAAAGATTTCTAGAGTAACACCCAATAAGGACAGGCAACCAAAGCAAAAATGGACAAATGGGATTATATCAAGTTAAAAATTTTCTGCACAGTAAAAGAAACACAAAGTGAAGAGACAGCCCACAGAATGAGAGAAAATATTTTCAAATTATCCATCTGACAAGGTATTAATAACCAGAATCTATAAGGAGCTCAAATAAGTCTGTAAGAAAAAATATAATGATCCATTAAAATGGGCAAAATATCTAGTAGACATTACTCAATAGAAGACATACAAATTAACAGCAAGCAGACATATGAAAAGGTGCTCAGTATCACTGATCATCGGAGAAATGCAAATCAGAACTACAATAAGATGTCATCTCACCAACTTAAAAAAGACTAGAGTTACAATATGATCCAGCAATCCCACTGTTGGGTATATACCCAAACAAAAGCAAAACTATATTGAAGAGATATCTGCACTCCAATGTTTATTGCAGCACTATATAATTCACACTAATCAAGATTTGGAAGCAATCCATGTGTTCATCAGGAGATAAATGGATAAAGAAAATGTGGTACATATACACAATGGACAACTATTCAGTTATAAAAAAGAATGAGATTCTGTCATTTGCACAACATAGATGGAACTGAAGGACATTTGTTAAGTGATGTAACCGAGACACAGAAAGACAAACTTCTTATGTTCTCACATAAGAAGAATTTTATGGGAATTTATTTATGGGAGATAAAAATTAAAACAGTTGAACTCATGGAGATAGATTGTAGAAGGATGTTTCCCAGAGGCAGGAAGTGTAGTGCTGGGAGGCTGTTGGGGGGATAGGGGATAGGGGCCACAGAAGTGTGACAGTTAATGATAGATATAAAAATATAGATATGAATGAACAAGATCTAGTATTCACTAGCACAGCCGGGTGCCTACAATCAACAATATATTTCAAAACAACAAAAAGATTATAATTGGATTGTTTGTAACCCAAAGCAAGGATAAATGCTTGAGGTGATGGATACCTCCTTTACCATGATGTGATTATTATTCATTGTATGACTGTATTAAAATATCTAATATACCCCATAAATATACACACCTACTATGTATGCACCCAACAAAAAATTTTTTTAAAGTCTACAGGTTACAGTTGAAGAATGTGGGATGTAGAGATGTTAAGTAACTTTAATATTGAGGCTGGAAAGAATTTCATCTTGGTTAAAGTTTGTTACTCGTGGTGCTCTTCCTGGATGTGCTCACATCCTGTTTCCCCATGATATACGAATTGGACTAAGTAAGAAACTAGTGCTAAATAAACGCTCCTCACCAGATTCCTTCTTTTCAAATGATGAACAAAACTTCTTTTACAAAAAACAAAAGCTGAAGACAAAACCTGACAGTTCTTTTGTCTCAACTCTTCTTGCTAAGAACCTTTTAAAAGTGACAGCCCTATTTTTTCTGTGTCTCAAAAGCATTTTAGAGTAATTCATAACTTAGAGCAACAATACAAGCCCCAGAATCCCATTGCTGACTGTGTGTTTTGCCCATAAATCTTCAAATTAGTCAAGCTTTGTCAGTTCAGAGGAGTGCAAAATAAATAATACTAACACACGAGTTCTTTCAAGTCAAAGCATAAACCTGAAAATATCTTCCCCCAATAGATGATTTGTATACATCCAAAGGTGGAGTCTAATAAGGAAAGCTAGTAATGAAAATTGCTAACACTGAAATAATGTAGACATCTCTTTTCAGCAGTGTAAAATAGAATAATTTATCAAAATGGAACTCTCAATAATGGTCAATTTCCTTTAATAACTTCACTCTAAATAGATTTAACTGGCTATTTCCTTCACACATTCTCAATGAGAGCATTGATCAGTATGAAAGAAATGTGACAAATAATTAGAAACATATCCCCAAACTTCTGATCTGATTAATCATAAGGAAACAAAGAGACTTGCTTAGGTCTCCCAGTATTTTTTAAGATAACTTTCATTTATGTTTCTCAGAGAAACAAAAGAATATACTCCATATTATTTTGTATGTAACTCCCTTGCATAGCAATTTTCAAATATTAGTACTCATCAATGACCGCTTAAGGTTGTATCATCTATGAAAAATCCCCATCTAATATTTCTGATGCTTTAAGGAATATTAAATAATAGATCTGAAAAAAGCTTACAAGTGCCCCCTAATTACAAGACAGGATTAAGTTCCATGGAAAGACAGCAGTGGAATAAGCTTTTCAACTTTATGGTTTCTTAAATATGCTCTTGTTTTATCATGGAAAGATATTTAAAAATCATTATGATTCATGATAACCAATTATTTTGTTGGTTTTGGATGAGTTCTTTTTATAGCTTTATTGAGATATAACTGACAACACATTAAATTGTTCATATTTACAGTAAACAGTAAGTTTTGACACATGTATGCACCTGCAAAGCTAGAACCACAATCTAGATGGGGAACATTTCCATCATGAGAGATAATTTTGAGTATATCAAAAATGTAAAATTTTGGTGACCATCAGATCTCCAGGTATATCTGGCTTTAGGAGGCCATATTTATTGTTTAGTGAATGATTTTTCTCTAACTTATTGCCAGCTTTTGGACACTGGTGCACTAACAGAACAAAAGATTGGCAGAATCTGGGCTTTTTCAGCATTATTGAGGAGCACTTGAATGGTACTGAAGTTGGCCTTTGAACATACCAGTGGACAGGTATGAAATCCTCAAGATGTGCCTGGTGGCCTAGAGTCTCACAGTATGCTGTACGTCTGCGTCCACTTTTCCTAGAGAAGAAACAGCAGACAAGCCTATTCCTTCAACCTGTGTGTTGTAGTGAATCTTAGTTTTTAAAGGCACATCATTTTATTAAACAATTTAGGAACCAATAAAGCACAAGACATTTGAAAAGATGGGTCTTCATATAGGCATAATACCTGATGAGGCAAGTCACTTTCCTCCTCTGAGTTTGAGTTTGTTTGCTGGCTATCTTCCCTTTTATCACAGTGAACTGTAAAGAAAAAGATGCAAGCTTAATGGAATGTCCAACTTTTGAAATACAACAGACTGCACAGAACTGCACAGACAGCTTATGATTAGGATGGCCTTGGCTCAGTGTTTCTGAAAGGAAACGTACAGCTTTTGTCCTGCCTATTGACATCGTGTTTGCCCTCAGGGCTGGTCAGGGTGAGATCTGTTAAGCTTTTTTGGAGGCTGTCCTGATAACTCATTCCTTTAGTCCACTATTTTCAGGCCCATTTTGGAAACGCAGGATTTACCTCGGGTTTGCAGCTTCCCTCGTCTCCATGTGCCACCAGAACCCGTCTCCACCGCTTACCCGCTCAGACCTGTGTCCCCTCCACAACTGATACTGGTCACTCTCAGAACTGTGGCCCTGAGCTCTCTAGCTTTCCTCTTTGCCTCGGGACCCAGGCCACCAGTAGGGGCTTAACTTTCTGAGTTGGGAAGGCGACGCTGCTGGGGGCTGCTTCTACCTGCTAGTCTTTCTTTTTTATTCCTCCCCAAACGAGGGGAAGATTCGAGCGGGTTTGGCACATCCCCTAACCGGGGCCTGCCATTTGCAGGTTGGGGGCTGACGTGCCCAGGAGGACCCGGACCAAGCAGGCCATTTTTACCTGCGTAATAACAGGCTTGGGAATAGCGAAGCAGCGGCGGCAGCAGCGACTGGAGTAGGAGGAGGAGCGCAGGCAGCGGCCGCGGCGGGGCGGGAGGAAGAGGAGGGGGGAGGAGGAGGAGCTGAAGCGGGAAGAGCGGTAGGCAGCGGCTCCGCGGAGTTGCACCAGAGGCGGCGGCGGCGGCGGCTCTGAGACACCGCAGCCTCCCGGAGTGCGGAGTCCCTCCGGGGACAGCAGCAGGGAGCGCCCGCGCAGCCACCGCGCCTCGGCCCAGCCAAGCCGCCGTCGCCGCGCCGGGAAACGCCAGCCATGGCCGCGCCGCCGGATCCGCAGGACGAGCTGCTGCCGCTGGCCTGCCCCGGGTCCCAGTGGCTCAGGGACCGGGGGGAGGGGGCGAATGAAGCGGTGACGCCGAAAGGGGCCACGCCGGCTCCTCAGGCTGGGGAGCCTAGCCCGGGGTTGGGCGCCAGGGCCCGGGAAGCGGCGCCGCGGGAACCCGGCTCGGGCCCCGCCCGGCAGCCGCCCGTTGCCATGGAAACTGCATCCACAGGTAAGGCGGGCGCCACTGCCCGGCAAATGGCGTCGGGGACCCAGGCCCCCCAGTCAGTCCCCTTCTACGCGGCTCTCCTGGGAACCTGCCTCGCGCTCTCTGCCTTGAGCGCCAGCCCCACCCCCGCGTCGCCACTGGCGACTGGGAATATTCGCGGGCTGGTGGAAAACAATAATTTTATTTTTCCAAAGGTTCAGAAGACGTCAGGATGCCTTTGATCCTTTTATTTCATTATCATGATTCTTTCAGATCAAAAAATTTTTCTCATCAGCAAACCGCAGCATCCTGGCTGCTGGCGAGTCTGGGTAGAAGTTTCTCCCTCCTGCCAGGGGGCTCCAAGCTGTAGGGCCAGTTTGACAGGTTGTGGGGATTCGGGGGGCGTGTTTGCTCACAGCTTGAGCACCCGCGATAGGAGATACTGATAACCCAGTGGCGGCCAGGTCCGCGGCCTCTGTACCTGGCTCTGCCCAGGGCAGAGATGTGGCTGTAACTGCCCCTTACCCCTGCCCTCCACGAATCGCCACCACTACCCCCACATTCCTTCCCCTCTTCCCCCGCAGAAAACAAATCCCAGAGAGTGTGTCCCTATTTCGGAGACACAGCTTTGCAAGCAGGCTTGGTGCTGTGGCTCCCCCTGCCCGGAACCTGTCTTTCGCCACGGCTGCCCGGATGGCCCCACCTTGCAGGGAGCATTGAAACTTGGAACTCCGAAGTGCGGCGGGCCTGGCTGTGGGTTGGAAGGTTTGAGTGGCGATGAGTGGATGTGGCATAGTTTACCAGCAGTCTGACCACCCCCTCCCCCGCCTTGGAAATTTCCCTGGGTTTGACCTTTCTTCGCCTGACTCCCTATTCTAAGTCTGAGTGCGCGGGTGTCCAGCGGGAGCTCAGGCCCCTGGCGCATCCTGGTCAAAGGATCCACAAAGCGCGCTTTCAGGCTGCCGGCCTGGTTGACGCTGTTTCCAAGGAGAAGGAAAGGGGATGCTGTGTGGTGCTGTTTCCTGAGAAAGCTTTGCTATGGTGGAGTGGGAGTTGTGTAGTTTTGGCAATGTAGAGCTATAAGGCCTGGGGTGGCGGGTGCTCCCAGAGGAGGGGATGTGAGGTGGGACTGGAGTGTGCTCTTGGTGGTCGATGTAAGGAAACCCCTTTTCAGCTTCTCCTAAGGGTTATGTGGAATACCTAGGGTAATAGTAATTAACTCTGCTCTGGTACAGAAGATCTGAACTGGGGAAAAGAGGTTTTGGTTATGTGGAATACCTAGGGTAATAGTAATTAACTCTGCCCTGGTATGGAAGATCTGAACTGGGGAAAAGAGGTTTGGATAAAACTTGTCAATATCCTGAAGGGAAGAGGAAAAGTGGAGACCCTATGTAAGAAAGAAGGAAAGAAAGAAAGAGAGAAAGAGAGAAAGAAAGAGAGAGAGAGAAAGAAAGAAAGAAAAGTACTCAAAAACCCCAACGGTAAACACCATTTGTTATATATTAATTATGATCTCTCTTGGGGTGGGGGAGGATTTAAGTCTAAGAATGGCTACTCAGTCTTTCTTTCAACTTCTGCATCCAAATGAAAACAAAACTCTTTATAATTGCAAAAGAAGGTAGTTTTTGTCTTTACCATTCTTTGTTGAGGGTAGAATCTTTATCCACTGTAATCAAAATAAATTAAATTTTGTCTTTATGAAACATTAACCACCTCCTTTTAGTGTCACCAAGATTATGTGAGCTAGAAAAAAGAAAACTAAATGCCCGATGTTCAGTAACATATCATCCATGAAAGTTGTTATATAGGAAATGCTTAGAATATATATTTGTGGGGTACAGTGTGATGTTTTGATATATGTCTATATTGTCAAATGATTAGCTAATTAACAAATCCATCATCTCATGTACTTATTTTTTGTGATAAAAGCATTTAAAATTTACCGTTTTAGCAATTTCAAAATATACAGTGCATTGCTACAGAAAGGTGACTGTAATAAGTAACAATGTGTTTGCCATTTATTATTATCATCATAGAAATATCTTGCTTTGTTGAATGTGTTAGGGCTTTTCTATCCTAGGCAACAAATATAGTAATAAAATCAAACATGATACCTTTTTTGGGTGGGAGGAGAATGAAGAAAGATGGAAGGTACACATATTTTGCATATTTATATAGAAATTTTTTAGTTTATCATTGCGGCTTGAAGGAATCTCTGATATAGTTGTTGATTGGTTAATGTTTTAAATCTCTATGTTTTTTATAAGTAGTCTGGATGTGCTGCTGTAAGAGAATCAAATGCAAGAAATGATGTCTAAATAAATAACTAAAAATCCAAAGAAATCTTTGCCAGCTTTCTGGTCTATTATTTTGGCAATTCTATTGCTATAAGCAAAGTCAGCATGTGAGCCCTCAATTGTCTCAGAGACGCCTACTAAGCACACTACTTTATACTGCATTTTTAAATTTACCTTTTTTTGGCTTATAAACAGAAATTTATTTTCTCGTAGTGCTAGAAGCTGAGAAATCTAAGATCAAGGTAGATTTAGTATCTGCTGAGGGTCTGCTTCCTGGTTCATAGATAGCTGTCTTTTCACTGTGTCCCCACATGGCAGAAGAGTGCTTAATTTTTTTTTTAAAGAGTGGTGCTTTTTGGGACTCAACTCAAACTAAAAAGTAACTTAGACTTTGAGTATGATGCATTGTAAACAGATTTTGTTTCTTTTTCAAATGGAAATATAAGACAGATATTGATGTTTTAAAAAGTGTTTTTCTGAAAAACATCACCAATCATGCCATCTGGACAGAGATTCTGTTATTTATTTTTATACATTGATGGTAATTAAAATTCCCCCAGGAACATTTCCGAAAATATTTATTAGCAGTGTCCTGGAATGAATATATGTTTAAATATCATTAAAACTGTACCATAGGCTGGGCGTCAGTGGCTCACGCCTGTAATCCCAGCACTTTGGGAGGCTGAGTCCGGTGGATCACAAGGTCAGGAGCTCAAGACCATCCTGGCCAACATAGTGAAACCCCGTCTCTACTAAAAATACAAAACAAAACAAAACAAAACAAAAAACCCAAAATCAACGACAAAAAAACCCGTGTACCATAAAACTCCATCAGTCCTCTATTTTCAGGTATTCTCATTGCTTTCGTCCCTTTTGTGGTATGGAAATAGTCTCAACAAAAAGTAACACTGTCTTTTGAAGTTACGACTTCATGTCTAAATTGATACTGGACATGTGAAATTATGTCTGTTGACAAGGGAACATTTTATACACTGGATAGGCTGCAACATGTTAGAGTTGTTAATCATAAAAGTGCCATCATCTAATAACTTTATACAAGGAATGTTAAGAGTAACTGTTTTGTTTTTTCATGATCAGTTATTTTATTCCTGGAAACTATTCAAAAAGAGCATACAATAACCAAAAGAAAAAAGAATCGTCCTTTGTTTAAAGAAAGAATTTTAAATAGAACATTTGAACAAAATGAAATAGAAGTTAACTCATTGCTTGCTTTGGAAATTGACTCATTGACCGCTTAATATATGGAAAGCGAAATGAGGAACATAATGGAGAATGGTCAGGAAAAAATCAGTCCAATATGATTTGCTTCAGTGATATCAACTTATAGGTGAATTGACTTAAATTTCAAGATAATTGCAAAAAGCATTTTCCAATTTACATGGATTGTATTGCTTATATGTTTGCATTTTTCAAATGCTAAATGTGATGCTGTATTGGAAAAACTATTCTCAGCCTATCATGATTTAAATAATTTTCAGGAGGTTTTATATAACCTGTGTTTATTCTATTTAATATAATAAATCTAGAGAACTATAGCACATTACCAGTCATCTTCTAAATTCCATTTGGAGGCTAGATTAACTGTCTTCACTTTTGGATGTGTTTGACAGATATGTGGAAATTTTTTATTTGGAGTCATTTCCAGGTAATCCCCTTCAGAAGGTATAAATTTCAATCTTCTTTCTTTTGAGAAAGCTACACTTCTATTGAAATGGTAAGGAACATTACACTTTGCTATTACTATCTTTAAAACATATAAGATGAATAAAAGAGTTTGGAAAATTAATGCAATTTATTTCTCTGGACATATCCTTTGAATATGATCAATACCATTTCTGGAAGTAAGTACAATATATGTTCTTTAATATTGGGAATTCACATTGGGTTAAATTAAAATTTAGAGTTGCTTACATACTTTAAAAATACATTGATAAATATTATCAAGGCTTTCAGCTTAACTTTCCCTTCATGAACTTGCTGTTCCAAGAAAACCACCCTGCTCATTGCCCTACTCTTAGGCTCTCCTCTCTCCATGTCTTTTTTACTTCTGATTCTGAGGGTTGAGAGAAGGGTTGTTGATTATCTAGCCCATTTTATTGTCTATTCCTGGGAGCATGGATTACAGGGATTACAGAGAGCTTTTGTTATCTTTTGTAAAGTGAGAAACCATTGCGATTCAATTCAACTTACTAGATTTTTATTAAATGCCTCCTTTGTGTAAGGATCTGTGCTAAACACAGGTCGGTCATGGTTTCCTAAAATGTGCACCTTTGTGATTCACAGTATTTAATTTAGCCAAATAGTTCCTTGTGTGTTATTTTTTATTTTCTTCATTCCCAAGTTATTGCTGGAAGCTTGACTAGAAGGGAATTATAATAATCTAACCCCATGGGCACAAGGTTATGAGTTAGTTTTCTGAGATCAGCACAGAATAAGTAAATATGAGCACAGCTTGCTTAGACTATTGTAGCTGTGAAAAACAAAAGTTTTCTCTCTTTCCCTTTATTTCTATCATCTACCTCATTCTTTGCATCTTCATAGAAGTAACTGGCTAAATATTACATCAAGATGTTTGGATTAGTTGTGATTATATTCAACAATTAGGTTATTTCAGTGATGACTAAGGGAGTTTTAAAAACGATGCTGGAAAATTTAGAGGGCAGTGAAAATAAAAGACATTTCAGGAGACTAATATATCCACGTAGG